AGCTCTGTGGCTGCCGGCCGCCATCTTGGTTGGGCCAGTTTGCATATAGTCGCTCTGATCGGCTGGTGGGCATGGCTTAAGGCGTAGCGAAGGTACAGTCAATTTGCATGTTTGTCTTTTATTAGATTAGACTAGTAGCCCTGCACACAAATCCATGCACCAGTAGCTCGCCAGTAGCTTGCTGCCACCCTCCAGTAGTTCTCCGCCTGCTGCCCCGTCCTCCTGTAGCTACCCCTACCTCCCTTCCCCCACTTCCTTTTCATAGCTTGCTGCCCTGCCCCCTCCTGTAGCTCTCCACCACCTGCTTGTAGCCAGTAGTTCGCTGCCACCCTCCTGTAGCTCTCCGCCCACTACCCTGCCCTCCTGTAGCTCCCTCTGCCCCCCTGTCCCTCCTGATGGCTTGCTGCCTGCCCCTTCCTGTAGCTCTCTATTGCCCGCTTGTAGTTTGCTGTCCTACCCTCCTGCTGATCCGTGATCTGGTCGTTACACGGTTGGTTGTTATACTTCATGGCGTAACGACCATTTGCATATTACATCTTTATTATATAGGATTATATAAAAATATACCTTTTAAACTTGATTTTGCCAGAACAAATATTAGAAATGGAAGGGGAGAGTTATGACATTAATATCATTTGCTTCATTCTGAACTATCTGGGCATCTCATATGAAGTAATTCTTGCCACTTCATGTATGTATGTGTGTATATACATATGTTTACACTTTGTGATTAAAAAAGGAGTACTTGGTATGTGAAACAAAAATAGGAGTTTTAAAATATATCACTTCATTTGTGTAAGTAAAGTAATATGTTAATTAATCAAGAAGCTCAGGTCTGGGCAGTGTGGCTCAGTCGTTGAACATCAGCCTGTGAACCAGGAGGTCACGGTTCAATTCCCAGTCAGGGCATATGCCCAGGGTTACAGGCTGGATCCCCAGTAGGGGCATGCAGGAGGTAGCCAATCAATGTCTCAATGTTTCTCTCTTGTTGATATTTCTATCTCTCTATCCCTGTCCCTTCCTCTCTCTAAAATCAATTATATATATATATACAATTTTTTTTTAAAGAAGAAACTCAGAATGATCTCCAAAAATATCAACTGGGCTTATATCTCCCTCACCCTAGGTTTAAATGATGACTGGCAGTCATTGCTTTGAGAGGCTGTACTTTATTTTCATGGGTTACAGATGGTACAACTCTAGAGAAGTTTGCATCATCATTTATTCTACATATGGTTTCCATATTTAGTTTTTTTTTTTAAACCAGGAATATGGTATGACCGTAGAATTTCAGCCATCCTTTGGAGATATTAAATAGAATCTGAACTCACTTCGTCCTTAATACTGGGTGAAATTAGCTGTGATATGCTCATGATTGAAAGGTATATAGTCAGCAACTCCTGAAAACAAGCAGAGAGTAACAGGAGGTCACCATGGTACATATAACCACCCCCACCTCCCAAAGGATCAGGCCATCGTTAGAGAAGTAAAATCACTGTAGAGCAAAATGGGTAGCTTGGTGAGTATGGAAGGAGCATTGAATTGAAATTTAGGGAGTCCTTGTTTTCAGGCTCTAGGTGGCTACAGGAGCATGACTTTGGGCAAGCCCCTTAAATTGTGTGAGCCTCATATATAAAATTGCACAGATAACATTTATCCTGGATTACAAATAATGAGTATTAAGTGCCTAATATTGTACTGGACACATGATGAGCATTCAATAAATGGTGGTTATTATCAAAATGATGTATTTAAGCCAGATTTAGAGCATTCAGGGCAGGAAGTTGTAGAGAGAGGCTGGGAAATGCCCCTGAGATGATTGTCATCTGAATCCAGCAGTGCCCAGCAGAACCATGCCCTGGAAGCATACCTTGCCAGAGGCAGGTGTATTGTCAGCCTGACCTTCAGCTCAGGCACCAGGGGATGGGTTTCATTATCTAAATCCAGTCAAGCACCAGGAACAAACACGATTATCTGGGCCCACCCAGAAGTGATGATTACAAAGAAACCACAAGAATACACATAATCTCCGTTGTCTTGGGCTTTAGTGAAACTTCCTTGTATTTTGCTGTATAAAATAAATGCACTGTCTCGCTCTGGGTCACTGTCTCTCCATCAGAGGACAGCTGTCCCACCTGGCCCCAGCTTTTTCCTTCTATTTCTGTGTCTGTCTCTTTCTTTTATTTTCTCAATCTCCAGCCACCTCTACGCAGGAACCAGACCGCTGTCTAGCCATGCTGGATGCGGAAAAGAGAGAAATATTTATAACCTTTATCCACCACCAAGTTGCTCAAGCCAAAAAACCTAGTTGTTCTTGATTATTTTTCTTTCATTTTCTTACACTCCCTCAGCAACTTCTGTCAATTATTACCTGAACTGATTCCTCTTGCCTCCCCACAATTCTCTACACATCAGCCATTGATCTTTAATATAAATCGCATCTTGTCACTTGTGTAAGCATCCTTTTCACACCACACTTACAATACCATTGAAACTCTTTACCACACCTTATAAGACTCTACATAATTTTTTTATTGCCTACTTGGCCATTTCAAAACTGCTCTAACCTCTCATTATTCTGCTCCAGCTGCACCATTTTTGTTGGTTTGTTGTTGTTCCTTGAAATACCAGAGCTCATTTCTATCTCAGGGCTTTGGCTTTTCTCTCTTCCAAGTCCTTCCAGGGC